TCTCAAGCTGAACACTGCTCCAGTTCAGTCTGGTTAAACTCGTTTGATTTTAGAAATGTCCATATGACGCAATCAAAATCATTAATTTGCCGAGTAATTTGGCTAAAGACACCACACATCGTTACAGCAAAAACTCATTCAAACTACATCGACTACCAACACCGCGCACTGGCGAGGTTCATCCCAATTTAATTTTTTTCGTTCTGTTGAAATTAGCATTCTTCAAGAAATTCGAGTCAGTCTTTATGAGCAGTTTGATAGGAATTCAGTGTAACTTCGTTCTTGCAACTTCAGGTTCTTGGTCTGGTCGGTACCAATGGAATTGGCAAATCAACGGCGCTAAAAATTTTAGCTGGCAAGACAAAACCGAACTTGGGAAAATTCGATGTGATTTTTTCATTCGTTTCCCGATCTCTTAATTTCTTTTTTTTAGGAATCTTTATTTCGGTTAATTTATGTTTTATGTTGCTGAAAAACGGTTCATGTTTACTCCGTTGTGCATACAACTGTTATATTGTTTGTTTTCCAGTCGCCACCTGATTGGCCCACGATTTTGTCCTACTTCAGAGGGTCTGAACTACAGAATTATTTCACAAAAATTCTCGAAGACAATCTGAAGGCAGTTGTGAAGCCACAATACGTAGATCAGATTCCAAGGTGAAGATTAAAGATTTAAGAATGTCGTTTTAAGACAGTTTAACTCGCTTGCGTTGTACTCATTCATTAGATTGAATCATTTTTGTTGATTGTTGATAAAAGTCGGTTGAAATTTCTATTCNGGATTGATAAATTGAGATCACTTGATGTGTTACAGGGCGGCGAAAGGTCAAGTTATGGAATTGCTGACGAAAAAATGTGACCGAGACAATATCAAAGAGGTTTGCGATCAGCTGGGTTTGTTTCACTCTTTTCTATTTCTTTATTGTTATATTCAAAAATGTCAGATATTCTTACTTCTGTGATATTTGTATCCGTAATGATGAAAATTGAGTTCTAAAATTTCGACTGCCATCAGAAGATGTATATATGTAAATTTTTTAAGAGTTAGTAACAGTGCAAGATCGTATGATTGAACAGTTGTCTGGTGGTGAATTGCAACGTTTTGCCATTGGAATGTGTGTCGTGCAACGTGCCGATGTGTACATGTTCGATGAACCGTCCAGTTATTTGGATGTGAAACAACGTCTGAACGCTGCCAAAATTATTCGTGATCTTGTCACGCCACACGAGTAAATCTTCGCGATCTTTCAGCTTTGACTGTCATTCAGCTGACTCACTTTTTAGTCTCCAGAACGAGTCTATTTTAGCTAGTGTTATTTTTAAATTCGTGTCTTAGTATGCATTCGAAAAGTTCATTTTTGAAGCTGTGATGAAGTAAGCTGAGTCTAGTTTCGCTTCTTCATTCTCATCTTTTCATTCGTTTTGGATTTCGACATGAGGCGGTCGCCTGTAGAAATTTGTTAGATGAGAAGTTGCAAGCTTGAAGCATTATGCAATTTGATTTCGGCAATTAGTGATAGCGTGCGTTAACGATTTGCAGTTATGTGATTGTTGTGGAACACGATTTGGCTGTGCTCGACTATCTTTCGGATTTCATTTGTTGTTTATACGGCGTGCCGGGTGCTTACGGTGTGGTCACATTGCCGTCTGGAGTGCGAGAAGGCATCAACATCTTTTTGGATGGTTTCATTCCAACTGAAAATATGCGATTCAGGTTCGAAATCTCATCGGATTATCAAATAACTTATGCGTTAGA